TGAATAGTTCATTTTGCTGTAAGATAACCAAGAAAAGCCTAAGAGAAAAAAAAAACTTTTGCATACTTTCAATCTATAGTGATAAGTCTATGTTTGTATATCTTAAATATCACTTTTAATTAAGCACTTTCTTTCTATGGTGGCCTTAAAAAAAGGGGGGGGGGTAAACTTAAGTTATCTCAGGAAAAAGATGAGTTACAGGAAAACTAATTAAATATTTAAAATAAGCAGAAAAAACTGCATAATCCTGTGCAGCTTGATCAAGATCACTGAAGAAATAAACAAAAAAAATGTCTAAGACCAGTCTGCCCCCCTTAACTCTTTCGTTGCCGTGAAAAAATGGTCATTTTTATGTCTCGGGACGATAGTTTTTGCCAGTCTGAAAAGTACTCAAGCACACAATGTAGCACACCAATTTATGTCCAATAAAATGTGCTTTCAAAAAAATCATAAGTTGTAGAGCAGTAAAAATATTGTGGAGTGTATAAACATTTGAAAAAGTGTAACATTTTGATCCCAGATGATAAACAGAGCAATAAAAAATCCTATTATGTGAAAACACTCATAACCAACAAAGTTCAGAATAATACATTTTGGAGATGAATGGCCTGGAAATACGCTGAAACCTCATTACAACAAAGTTGCATCTTACACAAAATAAGTTCGTCATACCTGAAAATTCATTATAAAGGTTTATACCTAACACTATCTTTTTCAAGAATTTTTCATTTACTTTTTTTATATCCAATATTTCATATATACTGCTTCGTTATATTGAGGTTTGAGTGTAGTGCAACAAATCATCCATGCTTTACACAATGTTGCTGCTAGCATAAACAAATAAATATCAACAGAGGTACTGTTCTATCGCTTGTGCCATGCGATGAAGTGTTTCCACCCCCCCCCACCCCCATTTCTTTTAGACACGAGTGCACTTGAGACACTTTTTTTTTCTATTTTTAAATGAGAAGAGCCTGTTGGTATTCCAATATAGATGGGTGCCCTCAATATGAAGAATGCCTCTATAAATCAGATGTCCAACGAACTTCACCAGTTCCTCTGATGTCACCTCTTTCCATGAGCTAACTTCCTTTTACCCCTCTCCACATAGGTTGGCATTTGAAAATACGTATCCCAGCATATTTATTAGGCTCATGCAAATATTCAAATAAATATTACTGTATTTGAATTTGCTTCAATGTGAATTTAAATTGTTGAAAATTATGAAGTATTCAAAATGAGCAAATAAATATCAATTAAATAGTTCGCATGTAAGCTTTTGAAAAGATGGTTTCACTGCAGTGTGAGTGCTAAGCCGTGAAAAAGAAAACACTTATAAAGGGGAATTCTGCACTGCCCTGAAGCCCCACTTCAAGGTTAAATGAACATATTACTTTCAAATCGAATAATCATTTCTCAAGTTGAAAAGCTTGTTATACTGGCTCATATGCTCCAAGTATAGTGAATCATAAAAGGTAACATCTTTCACAGGTAATCACTTGTATACTAACGAAAGTCAAATCCTGCTACTATCATACCTGCCAACCTGGCAACAGAGAAGTTCGTAAAACCCCCGAGCGGAGAAGTGGGGAAAACGGGGGGAGAGGGGTTACAGATCTTTTTTTAAGATTGTAGGTGTGAACGAATCGCCTTTAGCGACAAGCATAATCATGTTTTGCCACCATAACTCATATCGACACGCTGAATTATTTTCCCCCATTTTTGCCACTAAAAAAAAAAAAATGAAAAACAAACATCACGAAAAACAAGGGGGGTCCCAAATGCAAGGGCAAACATCGGTGTTGCAATCTCATAATGGCTAGCAGTGGTCGAACACACCAGGGTAGGGTTTTCCACTAAGGTGAGAGTCTCAAATGGGGGAGCGCAAATGCTTCCGAAATTTCGTGTCGTCAAAACAACTATAGCCAAAAAATCAATTCTGTCAAAACAACTCTCGTATGTCTTCACACGTGATTGGACAGGACGGCGCAGCTGGCTGCCACAAAAGCGTGGGTCAAAGCTTTGGCTTTGCTCCCTACTAGATTCTTAGGACAGGAATGCCAAAATGCTTCTAGCCTTTTTAACATCTTTATCGCCTTTAGTCTACCGCTGCATCAGCTACGTGTCCTCGGAGCTCGTAGATCATTATTGCATTGCCGTGACCGTTGCGGCAAACGGTATTTTTGTTTTCAATCCACGAGCCTTCAAGACTAAGTCGTTTTATGCTCATTATGATCCCAACTGGCGCAGTTTTGTCCAACCGAGCTTGCGGAAAGCAGCGCTGCTTTGACTGGTCGAGCGTTGGCCGTGCGCACACTTTCGGAGTTCTGTTAGTAATGTCGTCGCCATACATGATCATGTCAAACTACCCTGGTTTCGTCCACAGCAGTTGTGGCAACGACAACCACACGCACTATAGAAGATAGTGCGTGCGCTGGTCGCACGCGTACTTCCGAAGTTTGAGCGCACTGCCATCGGTCGGCCTTCGTTCGACGGTTTCGGTACTATTGGCCCAATGGATGCACGAATATGGCTGCAGAATTAGCTAGAGAATTTCACGAACTCGTACCTGCCGCGGTTTCGCATAACTGAGACACTACTGTACGTTTTGATGAATGCCTCTCCAAATTGTTTATAGCAAAATGACGTGGGCTCTCAAAAAGCCTGGAATGGACTGACCTGCACTTATGTCAATGCAACCACATCTCGCACACAAATTTACATTTCTGGGAGATTTTTATGGCAACCGTACAAACAGAAGACACCGTCGAAATCCGAAAGTCTCCTCGACAATGCGGGAGACTTGGCAGGTATGTGATAACACCGATACATATTCTTCTCTCCTGAAGGCAAGATATAGCACAACACCGTTTTTGTGGCCTCCCTGACTAGCTATGGCAATGTGTGCCGTAGCCAATCAAGGAGGCAACGTTTTTTTACTAATTTTATTTTCTAAAAATCAATAATGAAATATTTTTCGTAAAATTTCAGGCAAAATTCGTAAAATTGTAAGCGCAGTCGAAATTCATATATTTTACGGGAAAAACGGAAGAGTTGGCAGGTATGTACTATTCAAAGTTGTTTAGATTGACAGCTTCAGAAAAAGTTGACAGCTTCAGAATAATCCAGCACTATATATTGGACCCTTACAGTCTTTGCAAGCTGTCTTCTCCCGACGGGCATTTTTTTTTTCCGGTACTGCAGCGATGGGCCGTTGCTCTCGAGCTCATTCGAGGTTTCGGTGGCAGTGTGCACTTTTTTTTTTTTGCGAATGGCAGTTCTTGTGAGGCACCAGTTTTTTAACACCAATGATTGCACAAAACCCGCACAAGCTGCTCGTGTTCGACGCCGATCGCACGCGGTGCGACCACCGACTTCACGCTTACAGCGAAGCTGTCCCGTGCACTGCCGCTGGCGGATGTCTCCTCGCTTCCACTGCATGACGGATACACGCGGCTTGACGCATACGTGGACGAAACAACAGTTGCAGCACATGCGTCATTTCGGCGCTAAAAAGTTCCGAAAGCGATGCCAGTCCTTATTGTCTACTTGCCATTACTCAAATAGACAGCTCGCACCGCCTGCAGTTGGAGCATACTATGCCACTGAAGAGGTTCTGCATTGCATCGGTCTCACAAATAAATGTGGTTCCGCGTTCATCCTGACACTTGCTTTAGTCGTCGAACATCTTTATCTTTCACTCTGAAGTGCTGACGAAGTGATCAACGGTAGGAATAAAGCTCGAACAATCCAAATAGGGTGCGTCGCTGTTGCCGCGGCTAGGCCTAGCAGCAGACGGACCTCTCGCCGGCGCTCACTGCTTGCGTTTGGGGTGCCTTCCCTTGTACTGATGCCGCGTAATCAACTTCCATGAACGAAAGTAGCGTTTCTCGCCGGCATCTATGGCGTGGAAATAGTAACTCTGGCGGTCGTGTTCATCAATGTCTCGGCGAAAGCAGGAGAACGAAGAAATCTCTCGCATCCGACTGCGCCGCGGAATGCTCGCAACCAATGGCAGGGCTCTGATCATACCACGTGACTTCGAAGGCCCAGTCGCCATGCTAGAATGCTGCTTTGCCGAAATGGGCTCTGGGAGAAAAGGGTTAGGCCTACATGCCTGCGAAATTTCAAGAGCCGGCGATGCCGTAAAGTGAAGTGCCGCGTGCGTGAAAATCGGGTAACTTCGCACTTTCACGTGCCACTGCGAGTGCTTTAATTGTATTTTTCGATAACTTCTAGCTGATTCTCAGCTTTGATTTTGTAATATATTAAGGAGAAAGCTTGGAGGAATACAAAACGCAAGAAAACACCAAATCGACTTTTCCGAAAAAAAATCGCGGTTTTTCGACCCGCCTCTCCCCTTAACTAGCAAGGTTTCTTTGGTTGCAAGACTTTGATGTTACGGAGCATAACCACAAGCGGCACGTAAGTTCATCAGCCAAGTGCATTTTCCCATCACAAGAACATTGATTTGCACAAACTTGCAAAAAATCACTATGTTGCCGATAGGGACAAATTCAACTGATTCTGAAAGTTCGGTGGCTAGACTAACTAATAAGAGGTCCTAGGAATGCGAAAACCCAATTAAACAAGCTAAAATCAACGATTCAAAGTATTGATCAACGGTGATCGATTTAAATAGGCATGGTAAGGAGAGAGTTAATAGGAAGCCCGCTTTACTTTTCCACCAGGTCGGCCCAGTATTTCACAATCTCCACATTTGGACTGTATTGTTTTTTTTAATGAGGCTGCGGATGAATAGATTTTTCATACAAAACTCGCCATACAATTTTAAGCATTAGAAAAGTCAATGTAGAAATCTTTGACTTCTTAAACAGGATGGCGCAGAAAACTTGAACAGAGTAATCCTACAGGATGGCACAACTTATTTGACAATTCCAGACCAAAAGAAGGCAAATAAAATACGGCATTTGGTGTCAGGTGTACCAGTGCTAAACTAATGCATTAAGTCTTTTAAATTCAGATAATGTAATGCTCACCTGCTCGCTTCAAGCTTGGTCAAGGCAGCTGGAACAGGATCTCGAAAGTCTGGGAAGAAGACTATGAAGGACAGCGATTCCGGTGATTCTGTAAGCAGCCTCTGCAAGACCACAAGGAAATATTGTACCAGCCTATCAGTTTCAATAAGAGGGCTACACTAACTCCTCCTTGGCATGAAGAAAAAGAAAAGACATAAAACTAAATTACACACCACATATCAACAAAGAAGATACTTTCGAATCATAGAAATTTTCAGAATATGAGGTTCGTACAGATTTCCAAAGCGAAAATTCAAGGATATTCAAGGACTTCCCAGGACCTGTCACAGGTCTTTTAAGGACTAAAAGCAGCACGCAATGCTGAAATTTTTTTACTCTAAAATTTTCAAAATTGACTCATTTTTATTGGAATTATACAGTACATGCATATTGCAATTAAAAAAGAAAAACATGCCTAGTCTGCACTTCAGCTCCCTTTAGCTTCCCCATTTGCACAATAGGAAAAAAGCCAGCACTGAACAGCATTATGAGTCTCTCACTTCATTTGTTCATGGTTTGATGCAGTAAAGCTTTATTACCCATGCAGTTTTAAAAAACCAAACCACATCAACTCACGCCAAATTACTGCTTCGGAAATAGGGAGTTTGTTAGATCGACGCCGATCCATACCTGCCAAGTTCAAGGATTCTGAATCTGGTAAATTTCCGCAATGGGAAAAGGGGGCAAGTGTTGCGCTGATTTATTCACCCTCCCCTCTTGCAGCAAAAGAATAACATTGCAAAATTTTCAATTACAGTAAAAGGTGCGAGTCTCAAAGGGGGACGAACATACTTTTATCTCTCAAAATTTCGCATCATCAAACTAACTAGCAAGATATGTTTCTGACAAAATAACTCTCGTATGTCTTCCTGGGACACACTTGAACGAGCGGGACGGTGCAGCCAGCTTCCAGCAAAGCGCGGGTCGAAGCTTCGCTCAAAGGCCAACTGAAAATTTATTGCCAAAGTATAGCCAAAATAGAGATGGACAGGAACCTTACTAGATTCTTTGGACAGGAACACCAAAATGATTTTAGCATTTTTTACATCTTATCCCCTCTACTGCTGCATTATCCGCGTGCCCTTGGCTAGTTATCGTGTCGCCGCAACCTCTGTTTTGCACGCGGCGGTGTGGGAAAACAGTAGTTCAATTTTCTTAACCTGCGTGCGCTGGCTGCACAAGTGCCTTCAAAACCATGTTGTTTTTTGCTATCTATGACCGCATCTGCCATGATATTGTCCGCAGCATTTGTGGAAAGCAACGTCGCTTTAACTGGTCGATCATTCAACGCGCATGCAGTTTTGGAGTTCTGTCAGTTACATCGTCGCCACACGTGATTGTGTCAAGAGCGACCGTGGTTTTGTCCACAGCGATAAACCGCCGGAGAGGCAATGATAACCACCGGTGTGACAATGCGTGCACTGAATGCGCGCCTCCTTTCGAAGCTTTGAGCATGCTGCTCTCGGCCTTCGTTCCACAGCTTTATAACTACAGTTCATACGACCCGCCGCGATGAGAAAAAAAGCTCGGAACATCCAAATTTTGCCCCAACGGACATAGTAGAATTTGGCTAGGGAAATTCACCCACCGAGATTCTACTGTATGTTTAGATTAATGCCTTCTAAATTCGTTTACAATAAAATGCGATGGGTTTGCGAAAAACCTGGATTGGATTGGGCTGCATTTTTGTCAATGCAGCCAGATCGCGCACAAAAATTTCAATTTCCAGGAGATTTTCCTGACAACTGTACAAACGTAAGAACTGGTTGAAATTCGTGAGGCTTGGCAGGTATGCTGATATACCACATAAAGGAGGCCACAATGTCAATTGGGAGGGCTTAGGAAATTTAAGGTTTTCATGGACGGGAAAATATTCCACGACTTTCAAGGACCTTGAAAGCGCATTTTTTAAATTCCAAGGTTTTGAAGGTTTTCAAGGACCTGTACGCACACTGTGAATATTTCAGCGAATAACATTTCATGCAACGTCAGTGCGACATTTAGTGAAAGTGGAATTACCTCTCCCAATGATTGCCTAAGAATACCACCCAAGGAAAGCTCATTTGGAACGATGATGAGTGAGCTCATTTAAAAAATGTGATTTCTTGAATAAAAGTATCATTTATTTTTTCACTGATATCACATTACATTCATGGTTTTATTATTATTATTACTATTGTTATTTTTCTTTTCCAGTGGGGTAAAGCTACCCCTTGCATTACGATCTTAGTCACCTTAAAGTACAACAGGGGTAGAAGCAGGCTTCAGTCTTTCGGAGCAGCTTTGGGAGCAGAAATATTACGGTTTGGAGTAACTCTGGAGCACCAAAAGACGTATTTTGGCACATCCAAATTTAGTATTGGAGCAGATTTTTTAGGTCACACATCACTGTTAATAGAACTTTTGCTTTCTCATAAACACAAAAAATTTCAGTGGTTTTTACTAAGCATTCAATGCTGACCAAGTGACAAGACTTACCCCGAATTGACATATATATATATTAAACCTTACAATATCAAAGCTGAAAGCACAGCGACTCAAAGGAAAAACTAAAGCGACACTCTTGACAGCTACCAGGCCTCAGATGAATGAAAAAATTTGATGTTGAAATCTGGCAGTGTTCAAGATGTGAATAAAAGACTGCATCCAACATAAGCAGCAACTCAATTAGACTAGAGATGAACTAAAATATTAAAATTTATTTTTGTACTAAACCAATAGGGCTCTGTAAAAATAAGTGTAAAAAACTTATGTTCCGGTCACTGAAGTGTCACAGCCGACATGAGAACCGCAAAGAAATTTAGATGAGCTCACCACGCCACTGCTAGGCAATTAAGTGAATTTCTCTTTATTACGATATGAACTATATGGACACTCTACTGGTTTTTGTCATCGCTGCAATGTTCTGCGTAAACTACAAGTTGATAACATTCCCCGCGCATGCATCGTACGTACTACCCGTGCGTAAGATTGCACAAGCTGGTGTTGTGGGTGCTGCTCAATCAGAGATTAAACGAGGCAGCCGATCACGGTCGCTCGGAGGGCAGTGCACACGATAGCATTCCCCGCGTGTTAGAACTGCCGTCGAATGCTCAAGCAGATGAAACACGCCGCCCATTTTGAACGAGCATGAAAAAAATGCTAGGGAAAGGGGGAGCGATTGCTCGAGCAGCAGCAGTGAACTTTGATTCTAAGGACGTGGATGCGATAAGCTGGCCTGTGCGCTATCGGCTAGCATCAGCACGCGGCTTGTAAACCGTTCTACGAGGTGCGCTCTTAACAGAAAGAGATTGTGCGATAAGAGCACTTCTCCCTGGAGCAGCTGTACTTATTCTCGTACAGCAGCGTTCTGTAGAGTGTCCTGACGTCGGATCCAAAAGAATTAGCTTTCAGCCCTCGTACTGTCACGAAGCTGTTATGTTGACGAAGGCAGTAGCCGCTGTTTTCATGAGTGAACTTTTCATTTCGGTGAACCTGTGCTCGGAAAACGAAACGTCACTCTACGAGCAATACACGCTGTAGACTGATAGCAGCAAACCATAGCGTGGGCTGTCGATAATCTGCCAAGCAGCAAAGTGCGTCGGCATTTATACATGTGCCATCGAAGATTACAACATTATCGCTAGCGACCGCGCAAGTTTCAGAACTCTAATCTGGACGATAGTTATAGCGCGAGAACAAAACGACGACACAGAGACAAGAAGGACTTGTCTCTGTGCTGTCCTGTGTCGTCGTTTTGTTCTCGCGCTATAACTATCGTCATGCCATACCAACTAGCCCAAGCTGCCACACTTCTAATCTGGAATCTCATGGGAACTCTAATCTCGCCTAATCTCATCAGAAAGTTCCAAGATTATCTAGATTGTTCCCAGTCATTCGGGTGCGGTTTGCGCAAGGCAGCGTTACACGCTAATGGTGCATTAACGGTAGCAAACATAGAAAGGAGAACGTGCGGCATTACATTACAAATTCTTGCTATTGAAGTCATCGCTTCGCCGGTGACACTGATATTTATTTTTTTCTATTCATATGGTTCAGCTAACAACTTTGTTGTTAAAACATATACAGAGTCGCATAATGAGACATGCACACAAACGCCACTTTAACAAGAATCATGCATGAACCAAAATACCACGTGACTATAGTGAACTAAAACCAATAGATGTGACCGAACTAATTTGATATGGACGCAGTTGCGTCTTTTGTGTAGCACATGCGCATTGCTCGTTTGATGATAAAATTCCACCGCATTTGGCATTGCACACGCAAATAGCCGTTTAGGCACAGCAGGTCAAATCGGCGCAAAATGGCGCAGCACTTCCACCCCTGGTACAATAACCTTCTTGAACAATTTTTCAAAAAATGAATTATTTTTGGAACTTCTCAATCCTTTGTAAAAGACAGGGAGAGCAAACACGGGCACAAGAAAGAAGTCAAGACACTACAGACGTCACCACAGCAGGGGAGTGCCTATGTATGTCCAAGCATTGGTGACTGACATTGACAGTGTAGTTTACAAATTGGGAGCCTGCATGCACTAGAGAATGAAACGATGTGGGTGTTTTGGACCGAGTTAAATCTGTAATAAGCATGTCCTTTCAGAAGAAGAAGAAAAAAGCACTCCTGGTGTAAGCAGCCAAAACCATCTGGAGAGCAGCCCAACGAGAGCGCGATAGGGGCAAGAAACAAAAGCCCTCGTAGAGCGCCAATTGTGCACACCCCATGAATATTCTGCAAGGTTGACAGTACTTGCTTTTCTTGTTGAATGTCACTCAGGGTCCTCGTCTACATCCCACTAACGGCGATGTTGCAAGGTGCTCCCAACTTAGATGAGCACTCCCGCTTACATTAAAAAAAAAATTGAAATATTTTAAAGGTAATGTCTGCCACTGATAATACACGAGAAGTGCTCACATATACAAAACAATTAAACAATGCAAACATCTCAAAGTTTTGATTTTGGTGTTAGAGGCCCTTTCAATGCAATAAAATCTTATTGTGCCTAGCGGCACCATATGCTGGGTGCCAAGGAAAGCTTGCAAGCATGTTGGTAGTTAGTGTTACCTTTTTTAGCGCACTAAAAAAACAAGAGCAAAAAAGACAAAAAAAATACGCAGACACAGTGCTATGTCAAAATCGTTTCTTGAAGCTTTTTTGTTTAGTGCACTAAAAGAGCGAACAAGAATGGCAGTTTGATACACCCTAGTGTGGGGTTGACAGAAGGCAGTAAGGTGATTAAGTATGCTTGCATTTCATCAATCTAGTTGTCATTCCACGTGGCTATCAGCACAGCTGAGTATACTACAGGCCCCATATTAGTGGTATCAAGTATCAAATTGAAATGACTGTAAGCTGATTTGACTACAGATCAACCCATAAAGAACATTAAAAAAATACAAAAAAAAACATGCATGCATTTCATAAAACAAATTTATATAGTCACTAGACTGACTAATGTTCACCGACTCGAACGTTGAAGTCAGTGCCTTTCGTATCATGCGCTTCTCTTTCCTGTCCTTATAAAAAGTTGCACTAGAATATTTTAAGAAGAAATCACCAGCTAGGCCAGTAGTAGGTTCTGTAATGTCAAAACAAAAAAGTCACAGCTTTGTCGCAAAAGCGAAGCAATGAACGCGATAGCAACGAATTGGAAGGTCACACGAAGACTGGCAAGCAGATTGAAACGTGCTTCGCGTTCCTCACGTACAAATGATGCACGAAACGTACTCACAGGTACAGATGAATGCAAATAAGCATTTCAGTTGTTACTTCGCTGTGTCTGAAAAGCACGCCCTTTTGGCAAATGGAGACTGGGCAACGAGTGCAGTGATTTTTGTGCGCCCGGTAACTACAATAAAATTATTCCGGGGAAACCTTAAGACGTAAAATTGTCCCCACCGCGAGATAAGCGAGCGCATGTGTGAGTGTCCACCCAGCTCCCTCTCCACGAGGCAAAGTATGTGTGGGAGGTGAGAGTGCGCGCCGACGTGTCCCGATTATCTGGCGACACATGCTCATTGCGACATCTCAGTGGTAATGCTGAAAACACAATAGTTCCCCTCGAGATGCCCATCAGCAGCGGTGAGTGGTATATATAAATAGCTTGTCGTTTGAATGTTGAGAGAAGTGCTCCTCCGTGGCTAACACCTCGCACTCACACCTCAGAGGTCAGACGTTCGATTTCACGCGCCATAGCCTTTTTCTCGATTATTTTTCTTTCTTGCGTTATATATATATATATATATATATATACATATATACGTGTGCTTATACAGTGAATGACGCCGACGCCGATGGCAAAATACAGCAGAGAGTGGCTATATAATTGCTATTGCAATGAAAACGTGAATTCCGGCATGCAAAGGTGGCTTCATGGCAGTGTTTCACAGCTATGAAGAAAAGCTAGATCTGCAGCAATACGCGGGCACTATTTTTTAAATGTTTCAGCGAATTAAAGCAGAGAGTGCGGATTATATGCAAGAAAATACAGTATATGTTACAAATAGAGCCAGAAAGCAAATGCAATATCGAAACCATGCCACACCTTCTCAGATTCCTCGTTTGTACCCCTGTAACTGGCAGCTCTACTAGTGTTTAAACCAAGTCTACCCTCCTACTTCGGATATCAAATTTAGATAGAATGGGTCAACCTACAATCCCGTAATATGGTAATTTGTGGCAAATGCAGTGGCTGGACAAGCTGAGAATGATGAGCGCTGTTGTTGAAGGTAGGGCAATCTGAAGAGTTGGTGTCATATTCAAGCAAGAAGCAGCACGATCCAGGGACCATTTAGAGCAAGGGGAGTAATGATGACTTTTCTCACTCTTAAGGTGCTCTAACAACCACCTTGAAGTGAGAACACTTGTTGCAGCATTCAATGGTGGTGCTGCATTGTTTCAGTGCGGTGAAGTAGTACATGTAAGATGCCTTGAGGAGTGCACCAGGTGCAAGGCACGAATAAGAAAGCCAACATATACTGACAAGCATACATGTTTTCTGGGAGGAGACAATATACATTGGTGAGCACTGTCATAGTGGACTCAGTACAAGGCAAGTGATTGATATGGTGTTTGAAGAGGCAGAAATATAGTAAACATTTGCTGTCTTATATGATAGAACAATAAAATGACCACAGATCAAGGCTGGAAGAGCAAAGACAAGTGTTCAGTCGTCTTCAGGTTGCAGAGATGTTTCTCGCTAATTTATTGAAAATGCTACAAATAAAATTTGTAGTATTATAGCTAAGAACTTTTTCTCATTCACACCATTGACAAATAGCTGTGTGGACTGCTAGCTGGCATACTTGCTGTGTAGCTGATGACAACACTGTGAAGGAGAGAGCAAGCGATCATTTTAGTTTTTGACACTAGATGGTAAATATTTGGTAGTATGCAGCACAATAATATTTTGCTCACAGGTTTACATGATTCATAGTTATGAATGGCGCAAAGAAAGACAGGACACAAAAGAAGCGCAGACACGGGCGCCAGTGTCTGTGTGGTTTTCTTGTTTTGCGTCTTGTGTTTTTTGCGCCGTTCATAACTATGAACCAACACCAACTCGTCCAACTATCAGTGATATTTACATGAGCCTCAGCTACAGATTGGCAATGTTTTTATTCTATTCAAAATTTGCTTCAAGGCACCTTAAATTTTCATTTTTCATGTAAAAAAAAAGAGAATGCATTTTTCCAGAGATATTACAGCTGCAGCCAGTAAGTGTCAGCATGTTTTGGTACAGTGCAAAAACAAATACACAAGGGAACAGAGGAGACACAGACAGGTGCTGCCGTGTTCTTTCTTCGTCATTTTCACGTTGCACCCAAACATGCTGCCTTACCAACTAGCCCAATTTTCAATACTATAGCAGTAGGTGTCACACAAATTGTGCCACAAACCTCTAGGTGGTTCACAGTGGCCTCCATGAGTTCTTCTGAAAAAGGTGGGTTGACCTCAAAAGAGCCAGCAACAGGAAAAAACTTTAAGATGGACCTGAAAACAAACCAAGAAAGTTACACCCAAGAACCTAACAAAAATCACAATTAAAAAAAAAATACACAACACCAAAGTGGACTTGTAAGCAACTAATTACATTTTTGGTTGCTATTTATATTTGATGAAATATTGTCCTACCTAAGTAACACCCACTGCCATTCAATTACTTCTTTCAGTAATCAATTACCCATATCTCATCTTAAACTTACACGAAGCTATTATCAGCAATATTGCTTTGCACACTAGAGTTTGGCAATAACTAATGCACACAGTTCCCACTGCAGTGCCACGAGCAGCCTCTCGGCTGAGAATTTTCAGAGGCGAACCCAACATTTCGAGGAATTAGAGAAGATGACCAGTGAAAAATTATGAAAAGGAGTTGTTAATGAATATGAAAAACTGTGAAGCACTGCACAGGATGCTAGGAAAAAGCCACCACAACTTGCTGTGTTTACCGCATTTGTGGAGTGTTTACATAAGTTGGGAGGGAAGTAACATAGAAGTGATAGATTATTGTATTACTTTCTTAGAGTAGTTACTGGTAGTAATCAACTATGGTTTTAAAGAAAATAATTGTGATTACGTATTTACACGATTGTTGTAAGACGACCCCCCCAAAATCGCATCTCAAAAAAAAAAAAAAAAAAAAAAAAAAAAAAAAAAAAAAACCTCACGTAGGCCGCAAGCTTCGCCTCTAGTTCCGGAAAGCGGCCAGACTTCGGCCCGCGAAAGCCACGGCGCTTGGAGTCGCACGAGAAAATTTCCTCGCGCTGAAGCCGCCACTTCCGCACCACACATTCACCGATTCCAAACTTTCGTCCTCATGTCACGGCACTCATGTCAGACAGAAGTGACTCGAGAGAGCCGGTCGTGGACACAAGCGAAAGGAGCACGCGGCGACGCGCCCGCTTAGAAAATTGTATCACAAAGAGGAGCTCTTCCGTCAACTACCAATACCCCCCTACGACGGCTCTTCCATCGATTACCGGTGCTCCCTCAAGAGCCGTGCACTCGTCATAAAGGCACTCGTAATGCGTGCAGTAGATGCTAAAAAAAGAAAAGCTTTTGTATAAGCACGCGGAAAACTATGCGCTTTGGGTTGAGCGGGAAACTATTCGAGATGACAATACATGGGTTTCGATTCTAAGACGACCCCCCAACATTGGATTGTCAAATTTGAAAAAAAGGGTCGTCTTACAATCGTGTAAATACGGTAGTTGCCTAGTTTCCTGTAATGAGCAAGTCTGAACGAATCCCTAGAACTTTAAACCAAGGTTCATAACCTGTTTTCAATGATGCATTAAACAGCATGGTTTATACATATTTTCCCCAAAACACCTTCGGGTGAACATGTGAGTGTTAGTAAATTTGATCTCTATGCTTTATAGTTTAACATTTAGAAATTTCCGTACCTATAAGTTGGTTTGTATTTTGTTTTGGCAGCAGAAAGAAAAAAGCAAATTTGACAGAAGAGGGATGAGCGCTACTGATTGCCTCCATTAGGAAGCATCACAATGTGAAAGAAACTAATAGAACAGATGTGGTGTCACTGACAGCCAACAAGAGGAAGTACAAGCAGGCTGAACAAATTGTGGCACAAAAAAAAAAAAAAAAAAAACATGATTGTTGGGGCTCAGTTTCGGTGAAAACCCAGAGAAAAGCAGAACTGCTTGCCTGAAAAACAGTTATCTGCTCAGGAGCATGCCATCATTGCACTGACCCAAGGGATTTTCCCGGCATATTGGCAACGTCAGCTTCTCTTAGATATGCAACTAAATTGACCAGTTCTGAAAAGCTGCTGGCCCATTTGTGCTGCATATGTGCTGCCTTAAGTACCTGCTATGCTTCACAGTAATCAGTTTAACAAGGCAAGGTTGTTAAGTGTAAAGTTTATTTAGGAAATGTGTTCAGGCATCAAAAACATAAGGTGGGCAAATGATATTAATAAGAATGGTTAGTTAATACAGTCCAGACTTTTATATAACACAGTAAAGGATTAAAGCTGTTTAGCATTACAAAACAACAAAGGTACTAAAAGTGAGAGGTCACATTGTGGCCCCTTCGACCACTTGCATTTCATTTTGTTTTTATTAGAGCTGTGGGAATAGAGAAATTTCGGGTGCAAAGTAAATTTGAATATTGAAGTGTGAGTGCAAATCAAATGGAATATTTTTCAAATAATTCTGGATTACTTCTAGAATACTTTTTGAATACTTTGAAAAGTGAAATTTAATACTTCGAAAAGTGAAATTGCAAAAAAAAAAGGTTGGTGAGGATTCTTAAACATATTATCATGAAATAGCAACATGAAAGTGTTTCCTTTCGATAGGTTGATAAAGCGCTGGCAGGATTGTGTTTCATAGTAATCTCATCAAGAATGAGGCAATGCAGAGGTCAAGTTATATTTATGCAATGATTTGGTGCAGCCCAAGCGTTATCGACAACTCTTTACATGTAAAAGACAAAAAACACTAGTTCCCCAGCCTATCCTCCTATTTCAACTTCTGTGGAAGCCCAACTGACGTGGCGGACAAGGGTGTGCTCCCTTCAAGTTTGGAGTTCCAAACAGGCCTCATAGACGTCAATATACAAGAACCTCTGATATTTCGGAGGCTGAAAATTTCTGGCGTCCAATTTTTCAAAATTTGTGGAATCTCGAATTCGCGAGCGAGCGCCACGCCGCGCTCTTGGAGTGAACGGACACAGCAGACGCGGTCGGTACAATACCAAACAACATACATTTATTTAACTACTTTTGAACGACGATATCGTCTGCCGAATCGGTACATCAATCGTTATCAACACGCTAAGTCATCATTACACAAAATTACCATACACTCAAACAACATAAAACAGGAGCAAAGAAAAGGCGGCATGGCCAACGCTTCACTCACCACGTGGGCCTACCGCAGGCAGCCCGCGGTGCCGTCCACGGCAGACCCACCGCGAGAGACAACCGTTCGCGGCAACTACCACGCGCAGAAGAGACTCGCTCAACTCTCGTCCGCCAGCAAGGCATGCTTTCCGCCAGAGGTCACCGCTGGCGCTACTCCATGATGATGATAGTGGTGGCCAACTGTCGCGAACACGCCACCCACCACCCAATGGTTGTTACCCCAAAATGCGGCTTTTGGGCGAGACACGTGCGCCACGCGGCGCAAACAACTTTACAGGGGCTGTCAGCACCCCCCTACAAGTTTTTTCTTTAATTTCTGGTCCAAAGCAGCACTAATCGAGCCCCGCCTTTGCCCCATCTATCACTTCCATGTTTGAACCAGCGCTTTTTTTTTTTTTTTTGAGTCAATACATTTGCAACAATAACGACAACCTCGCCACAAAACGAGAGTGTAATGAGGTGAAGCATACTCAAAACATGAAGGAGTCTAATTGTAGTATGTGGCTGTCTGGGAAATTTGGCTGTAGTGGAGCCTGTAAGCCAGCTTTGCCTCAATACGAGAATGATGAGTTGAAGCATATAAAAAATCTGAAGGGGTCACTTCCAACCTGATGACTATATATTTGTCTTAAAAAAGTTCACCATAGTTTCAATACCGAAATTTTCAGTGTGAATCAAATTGAAAAGCAAACACTCGTCAGAAAATATTTGAAATTTTAAATATTCGCACACCCCTTCACTTACCCTCGGGAACCAAAGAAGCTGTCAGTGTCCGGAAATGCTGAGCAGTACTGCCTAAAGTAGCAGTTAAGAGGTGATGCAAAGCACTCAAAGGTCACCCCAAAATGCTTGTGCAAGCACTCCATGACCAGTGCAGGCAATGAATTTTGAGTCCCATGGCCTTCATTAGATGACAAGCCCAGATACGTCTGAAAGGAAAGAATTTGTATTACTACACATTAGAATTCATTCTTGAATGATGACTTGAAACAACACCTCTATCTGATTATCAAAAAAAAACAATGTCTATTAAATATACCAGAAAGAATTAATAAATAAAGGTATGCCCTTCCAATATCATCATCATCATCATCAGCCTGACTACGTCCACTGCAGGACAAAGGCCTCTCCCATGTTCCGCCAGTTAACCCGGTCCTGTGCTTGCTGCTGCCAATTTATACCCGCAAACTTCTTAATCTCATCTGCCCACCTAATCTTCTGTCTCCCCCTAACCCGCTTCCCTTCTCTGGGAATCCAGTCAGTTACCCTTAATGACCAGCGGTTATCCTGTCTACGCGCTACATGCCCTGCCCATGTCCATTTCTTCTTCTTGATTTCAGCTATGATATCCTTAACCCCCGTTTGTTCCCTAATCCACTCTGCTCTCTTCTTGTCTCTTAAGGTTACACCTACCATTTTTCTTTCCATTGCTCGCTGCGTCGTCCTCAATTTAAGCTGAACCCTCTTTGTAAGTCTCCAGGTTTCTGCTCCGTAGCTAAGTACCGGCAAGATACAGCTGTTATATACCTTCCTCGTGAGGGATAGTGGCAATCTACCTGTCATAATTTGAGAGTGCTTGCTGAATGTGCTCCACCCCATTCTTATTCTTCTAGTTACTTCAATCTCGTGGTTCGGCTCTGCGGTTATTACCTGCCCTAAGTAGACATAGTCTTTTACAACTTCAAGTGCACTATTACCTATCTCGAAGCGCTGCTCCTTGCCGAGGTTGTTGTACATTACTTTCGTTTTCTGCAGATTAATTTTAAGACCCACCTTTCTGCTCTCCTTGTCTAACTCCGTAATCATGAGTTGCAATTCGTCCCCTGAGTTACTCAGCAATGCAATGTCATTGGCGAAGCGCAGGTTACTAAGGTATTCTCCATTGACTCTTATCCCTAACTGTTCCCATTCTAGGCTTCTGAAAACCTCCTGTAAGCACGCGGTAATAGCATTGGGGAAATTGTGTCCCCCTGCCTTACACCCTTCTTGATTGGTATTCTGTTGCTTTCTTTATGAAGCACTATGGTAGCAGTTGATCCCCTGTAGATTTCTTCCAGAATGTTTATATATACTTCATCTACGCCCTGATTCCGCAGTGCTTGCATAACGGCTGATATTTCTACTGAATCAAACGCCTTCTCGTAATCTATGAAGGCTATGTATAGTGGTTGGTTATGCTCTGAGCATTTCTCTATTACCTGATTGATAGTATGAATGTGGTCAATTGTTGAGTAGCCTGTTCGAAATCCTGCTTGTTCCTTTGGTTGATTGAATTCTAATGTTTTCTTTACTCTGTTAGCAATTACCTTTGTAAATAGCTTGTATACTACAGAGAGCAAGCTGTTCGGCCTGTAATTCTTCAAGTCCTTGTCATCTCCTTTCTTATGTAATAAGATGATGTTAGCGTTCTTCCAAGACTCTGGTACTCTTCCCGTCAGGAGACACCTCGTAAACAGGGTGGCTAGTTTTTCTAACACAATCTGTCCTCCATCTTTCGTCAGATCTGATGTTACCTGATCCTCACCAGCAGCTTTGCCTCTTTGCATGCTCTCCAAAGCTTTTCTGACTTCTTCTATCATTACTGGTGGGGTGTAATCTGGGTTACTGCTAGTTCTTATAGTATTAAGGTCGTGGTTGTCTCGGCTACTGTACAGATCTCTGTAAAACTCCTCCACTATTTTAACTATCCTATCCATATTGGTAGTTATTTTGCCTTCTTTGTCCCTCAGTGCATACATCCGACTTTTGCCTATCCCAAGTTTCCTCTTCAATGCTTTGACATTTCCTCCGTTTTTCAGAGCGTGTTCAATTCCCTTCCAATATACATGAAGTTAATGTTAAGATGCTACAATTGTATCTCTGAAAGAAAGGGATGTTAAGGGCTCATTTTTCTCATTACATTAGATTAGTTCTCATTGCAATTGTAACTGACAGTCCAGAAACAATTTAAATTATCCAGCCTGACTAACTGATACAGTGAAAATGCATGCTTGATTATATTGCCACGAACGTAATAACAGAGAGCGACGAAACGACGTCTTGCTTGCCCTCAGACCAGGACGCAAAAGCCCTCTTCTTTCTTCACTTCCAAGGGATTCCCCCTACAGTTGATGGCTCATACCCATTACCTGTGACATTACTCCCTCTCCTCGAAAAGCATCGGCTCGATGCTGGTAATGAGCGTTGAGAAAAAAATGCGAAAGAAAAGATGCTACCATGGAACCCAACAACTCCGTCGTAAGGGAAAAAAAATGGGCTGGCGTCGTAGAAGAACTCAATAAAGAAAGGAGTAAGTACACAAGACAATAAAAAAAAAACCAAAGTGGCAAAAAATAGTCATTGCATGGTAAGTTAGTGCACGTTCGATGGATGACGCGAGAAATATGGCTTGAGTCTTGACACGTGCACCACATCACTTTGTGGAAACCGACGGGAACGTCTTGAGGTGCCCTCAGGGAGAACTTCATACGTAACGTCACTGAGTCGGCGCAGAACTTTGTAAGGGCCGAAGTAGCGCCGAAGCAACTTCTCAGAGTGACCACGCTGTCGGATGGGAGTCCACACCCAAACTTCATCGCCTGGTTAAAAGGTAACCTCTCGGTGTTTAAGGTTGTAGCGGTGTGCGTCGGCAGTTTGGCGAGCCTGAATACGGTATCGGGCGAGTTGACGGGCCTCCTCGGCACGTTGAGCGAGCAATGCAGCGTCCGTGTTGAACATGCTCAAGTTGTTGGGAAGGAGCATTGCGTCGAGCATTGTGGTGACCTCTCGACCATGAACTAAGCGAAATGGGGTGAAACCTGTACTCTCTTGGACTGCTGTATTGTAAGCAAAAGTTACGTAAGGGAGTATATCATCCCAGTTCTTGTGATCAACGGCCACATACATAGACAGCATATCTACAATTGTCTTGTTCAACCGTTCGGTGAGTCCATTTGTTTGGGGGTGATAACCCGTGGTTTTCCGATGTTCTGTACCACTTAGTCTCAGCACTTCTTGAAGCACCTCTGCGGTGAAAGCTGTACCACGATCAGTAATTATCACAGCTGGCGCTCCGTGACGAAGTACGATGCTGGTGACAAAAAACTGTGCGATTTCTGCTGTGGTAGCTTTGGGCAGGGCCTTTGTTTCGCTGTAACGCGTTAAATAATCGGTGGCAACCACAATCCACCGGTTTCCAGACGAAGAGGTGGGAAATGAGCCGAGCAAGTCAATGCCAATTTGATGAAATGGTGTCTTCGGCATGGCGATGGGCTGTAGTAGTCCTGCTGGTCGGACAGGTGGAGTCTTACGGCGTTGGCAGTCGCGGCATGTGCGGACGTACTGCTTGACTGTCTTCGCAAGGCGGGGCCAGTAGTATGAGCGGCGAATTCTTTTCAATGTGCGCGTGTAGCCAAGGTGTCCGGACGATGGTTCGTCGTGACAAGCATGTAAAATATCGTCCCGAAGCGAGGTCGGCGCAACCAGTAGGTAAGTAGCCTGGGTATGGTCGAAATTTTTCTTATAGAGGACTCCATCCCTGATGCAGAACGAGGCCAGCGAACGTGCGAAGTTTCGAGGAAGGCTGCGTTTTCGGCCTTCGAGGTAGTCAATTAGCGGGCTTAGCTCCATGTCGTCGCGTTGTTGTTGAGCCAAGTGGGTTGCTGACACAGAGGAAAGGAATGTATCGTCCTCTTCAACGTCCGCGTTCGTACTTCCAATTGGTGCACGTGAGAGACAGTCCGCATCAGTGTGCTTGCGTCCTGATTTGTGAATGACTGTAACGTCAAATTCTTGCAGCCGAAGGCTCCAGCGTGCTAGACGACCGGAAGGGTCTTTGAGGTTGGCGAGCCAGCATAAAGAATGGTGGTCGCTAACTACCCTGAATGGTCGACCGTACAAATAAGGGCGAAACTTTGTTATAGCCCAAACAACGGCTAAGCATTCTTTTTCTGTTGCAGAGTAGTTTTTCTCTGCAGATGATAGTGTCCGACTTGCATAGGCAATCACGCGCTCTATGCCATTTTGCCATTGAACCAGTACAGCTCCAAGTCTGACGTTGCTGGCATCTGTGTGTAGCTCTGTGGCAGCGTTGTCGTCAAAGTGACCGAGTACAGGTGGGGCTTGGAGATGGTTTCGTAGCGTGTCAAAGGCGTGATGCTGATCATGGCCCCAAACAAATGGTACGCCGTTTTTCGTAAGTTCATTTAGCGGTTCAGCGATTTTAGAAAAGCCTTTGACGAAGCGTCTGTAATATGCGCAGAGTCCCAGAAATCGGCGGAGGTCGCGCTTGTTCGTTGGGACAGGAAATGCGGCAACAGCTTTCGTTTTCTCAGGGTCTGGGTGTATGCCGGCGTGGCTGACGACGTGACCAAGAAATTTCAGTTCCTCGAATGCAAAGTGGCATTTCTCAAGTTTGAGAGAAAGTCCAGCTGTTCGAATCGCCTGAAGAACTGCCTGTAAGCGCTGGACGTGCTGCTCAAATGTGTCCGAGAAGACGACCACATCGTCAAGGTAGACAAGACACGATTGCCATTTTAGCCCAGAAAGAACCGTGTCCATCATTCTTTGAGAAGTAGCTGGTGCCGAGCACAAGCCGAATGGAAGGACCTTGAACTCGTAGAGTCCGTCAGGAGTAATGAAGGCGGTCTTTTCGCGGTCGCGCTCATCAACAGATATTTGCCAATAGCCGCTGCGTAGATCCATTGAAGAAAAGTAACTAGCATTGCGATTGCGGTCCAGCGAGTCGTCAATTCGTGGTAAAGGATACACGTCTTTCTTCGTGATCTTATTCAACTTTCGGTAGTCGACGCAAAATCGGAGAGTACCATCTTTTTTCTTTACTAACACAACAGGGGACGCCCAGGGACTGGTCGATGGCTGGATGACATCGTCCTTGAGCATCTGCTGGACCTGTTGGCGCATAACGTCTTGTTCTTTTTGCGAGACTCTGTAGGCATGCTGTCGAATGGGTCTCTCGGTAGGCTCGGTGATGATACGATGCTTGGCAAGCGGTGTTTGGTTAACTTTCGAAGTCGTAGCGAAGCAGTCCCGAAATGAGCCAAGTAGCTTCAAAAGACGTTCCCGTTGTGCAGACGGTAGACCCTGGTTTACGTCGAGATTGCTTGCAAATGTCATGGCGGAATCGTCGCACGACGAAAGAGCAGATAATGTTGAGGGACCAGGGACGTCGGCAATATCCTCAAGGTGGAGGTGCTGCGTAAATGCGCCTCGGCTGCAGATTTTCAGCCGACACACTGAGCTACTTGGAGACAGCTACAGCTCCCACGGCACGAAGCAGTCGCCGCCTGCGAGGACTATCTCCCGAGTACGGTCCCCTCTCTCAAGACGAGATGGCAACTTCAACTAACAACCAGGCGAGTCAAACCAACGACGCCTATTCTTTTCTCCCGCATGTTTTTCATGCGCCGCAAACACCACGCTCATTTCATGGAGACATTTATGAAGATGTTGACGACTGGCTTGACCACTTCAATCGAGTTGCCAACATCAACGAATGGGATGAAGCTCGCAAACTGCGGAGAGTTTACTTTGCGTTAGAAGACTCTGCCAAAACGTGGTACGAGAATCACGAGGGTTCCTTTGCAACGTGGCATGAGTTTAGCCGACAGTTTCGTGATGCGTACCGCAGCACTGAAAGGAAAGAGAGAGCGGAGCAGGCTATCTCGTCTCGGAACCAACGACCCAACGAAAGAGTTTCGATGTTTGTCGAGGACATGCTTCGACTCTTCAAGCGTGCTGACCCTGCAATGTCCGAGGAAAAAAAGGTGCGGCATTTAATGCGTGGGGTAAAAGAGCAGCTCTTCGCCGGACTCGTGCGCAATCCACCGACGACTGTGGCAGAGTTCATAAATGAGGCAACCACAATGGAGCGTACTCTCCAGTATAGGTCGTTACAGTATGAACGCCACGACCTGACCCCTGCTGCATGCTTTATCAGGGCTGACAGCGAGAGGCATGCCCTCGCTGAGTTCATAAGAAGCGTCGTGCGGGACGAGCTGCGCCAACTCCAAGCAGCGGGACCCCAACCACCCGTAAGTGATCTCGCAGACTTAATCCGAAATGAGATCCGACACGTGGTCACCCCACTCGCGCCAACAAGACCTGAGGCCCCTGTGCTGACTTATGCGGCGGCTCTGCGATCTCCTGCACCACATGGCCCTGATCCCACCATGGGGAGAATGGATCAGGCTAGCCATCGATTCCAGGGCACCTCTTCGACTCCGCCACCCGTTTCAAGGTTTCAGAGTGCACCAACTTATCGTCCGTCTGGATCGCGGCAGAACGCCACAAAGGCCAGCGTGTGGCGTACGTCCGATAACCGTCTACTCTGCTACCACTGTGGCGAAGCGGGTCACGTCTACCGTAACTGCCAGTACCGCCAACTTGGTCTCCGTGGCTTTCACCCAGATGCTCGTTGCCCGCGTTACGGTGAGCGTCCCCGCGACATCGAAGCGTACCTTACGGGCCAGCAAGCTCCTCGCCTTGGTCCACGCCCCCAATCACGATCTCCATCACCTCGCCGCCCCACGTTACCCAGCACCTCCACCAGTGCCACGAACGTAATAACAGAGAGCGACGAAAGACGTCTTGCTTGCCCTCAGACCAGGACGCAAAAGCCCTCTTCTTTCTTCACTTCCAAGGGATTCCCCCTACAGTTGATGGCTCATACCCATTACCTGTGACAATATAAATTAGTGTTGTTAGCTTTCTCGGTGAAATTATATTTTACTAAATTATTACACCATGAACATGATTCAGAAAAATCAGGTTAAGTGCAATATTTCCCAGAGTTCGAAAATCATGAAACTTTTTCTTTTATTTTCTTAGATTGCATGGGGTTTGCGGTGCACATGCTTAGCTACCCTGTCTCACAAAACGAAGTTAGCTCCTCGAGGCTTAAGTGAATTCCAGTGACCTGTAGTTTATTTCACAGGCTGTGTGTACAATGTGGCTTTCGATTAACAAACCATCCGAAAAGCACACCTAACTAAGAGTTTCGTGCTAACTAATGGAGCACCCAACTATTTGCCATTATTACAAATTAATTTGCCTGAATGTGTTACTTGGAATGTTTTAGACTTACCCTGAAAAACACAAATAGAAAAAACAATCTGATCTTTTTGATTATCATTTAGAGAAATAGCACCTAATTTTTAACCCCCATATTACCAAAAATATATAAAGCTCAAAAACAAAAAACCCAAGCTACAACGGGTGTTAAATTGCACACTGCCAGCAAAATGAGTTAATTTTCAGGATTTTACATGTTGAACCAACAGTACGGACTATAAGACATGTCGTAGTGGAATACTCTGGCTTATTTAGTGGAGAGCCCTGGGCTAATTACTAAAGAAAAACAATACAACAGAAAAGTGAAAGCACTCTTTACACGTAGGACAAATTTCCAGTAATATGACAGTACCAGAAAATTTAACCGAAACTTGCTAGAACAAAAACCAAAGTTTCACTTACGTTTTAAATTATTATATGCAAAATATCAGATAATAGTTCCAGCAAATTTAAACAATCCTTGAGCATTTATATTTCTGACAAAAGGCAGATTTTAGCACCTGCTAATATTAGCAGCATAACTATATGAATGGACACGAATATAGAGAAAAATAGGTCGGCTACTGTCAATATGTTATAACATAGGTTATAACAGCTTTCAATACGTCAATATGTTCTATAACAGCTTTCAGAGAACCACACAAGGGCTTGGTGAAAGGTATTTTAGGATTTTGCAAGTGGTCGGAACAAATCCTGCACACATTTATTAATTTAGAAAAAAAACACCTGCTCCTTAGTTTAGATTTAGTGAGGACATTACACGCGATGTACGCACATTTGGAGCTTGTGAGATGCGAGAGGGGCACATGTCAGCAGCACTAACAGCACTTAAAGCTCATAGTCATAGTGCACACCATGAAATTTGTGCAATTCGAAGACACTTGGCAGCAGCATGCATGGCGCTTTTGAGCACAATTTGTGTAAATACTAATTTCATTAATTCTAGAACTCTAACTTTACACGTGAATTTCCTGTATTTATTTTGTAAAAGAATGAATAACATTAATAAAAATGGCAAGCAAAGAACATTACAGCAGTCAGTAACCCGCAATAAAATGAATAAACCGACTCACCTGGTACCTCTTCAGCATGCACCAAACACGTGGAAGGAAGTTCTCAAATTTCCTGTCATCTGTGCAGTTCCACCTATAAAGTTGCTCCTAGAAAAAAAATGGGACAAAAAAAAGGTGTAAAATAAAAGTAGCACAGGATGCAAAAATGACTAAAAAACAAACAAAGGTGTAAACTGGAAGTAATACAGGGTGTAAAAATGCTTACTATTTATTCTCTTATACTCTGGGTTTCCATTTTACAGCGAAATCTGTTATGAGACCAAAAGTCAGGTTACGCACTGTCATAGTTGTACGCCGCTGCCGCTGGTGTCCGTAACCACAACACATGAAATTAGAAAAAAAAAAACTAGTACCAATAACACAGTGGTGCTCGAACCCATGTCTGCTGGGTGCCAGCCCAGTATTTTACCACTGAGCCACGCCGGTGCTTGGGACTTGTTGGGAAACTTGCCTTAGGCAGGCTTGACGTCGGGGAAAGCAATCGCGTTCATACGACTTATAAAGAGTTTTAAAGCAGCGAAAGAACAACCAGTCATTGCACAATGCGAATAGCGTAACGAATGGGTCGTCCAATGCTTCAACCCATTACAAAAGCTTGTTCTTGTTCACCTATTAACTGTGGCACATGCCCACTTCAGGCACAATTCGTCATCGTCGTCAGCCATTGCAAGAACAATTGGCACGAAATTCTTTGCAAGTGTTCAGCGGATACCGCGCTTCTCAGAAGAATGACGAAAAATAGCATAGGGAATGCCAGCCTACTACACAAAAAATTTTATTATTAATGCCGTAGTTGGTATCAAGCAAGTGTGCTTGCAGCACTTATCCAATGAGTGTTTAGAAAAGTCTCTGAAAGGCTATTCTTCTAGCTTTCGTTGTGAATGTGCTGCACCTTCCGCGCAGGCCTGACATTTTTAAACATGATAGTCTTTCTTGGGGACCTTCGACGCAAAAATTTTAGTCTGTCTGTCTGTAGATTTGTCTGTTTTCCCACTCTTAACGGCATTGGGTTGAGCGTTCATGCTTGTGCGATTGACAATCAAAAAGCAATTATTTCGCATGTCTGGGGCACGATAACAACACGTATATATTCTGCATGTGCGTCTTTTACTAGAAAGGGCATACATAAGTAATTTTAAGAACCGCAGCACTTATCACGCTGCGCTGACCATGCAACGCTTGCACAGAAAGACGAGTGTTTCCAACGCTTTGCTAAGATCAGACGGTGGTGGCACGTACCCGTTGCCTTGCGTTCTACACCTTATCACCTCTGAGATGGGCGCGCACACCCGTCTCAGAGCCAAGCACTTTATTTTCTAAGAAAACTGCCAAATGGCGCTCATGTCTGACGTGTGACGTGACTTGATGCGCTCATTCGCCTCAGCTGCATGCTCGAGGCACTCTAACGCAGCGCCTCCAGAATACCATTCCCCGATTTTTTTGTGCAGAACATCAAATAAATGTCTTGCTTACTCTCTCCACACGCAAGACTATCGTCTTTCGACGACATTTGCTGATTAACATGCAGATACGGCGACAATTTTTTTTTTTTCTACATACTCCCCCGCCCCCCTACCCACGCACTCTCTCAAAAGTGTCCGTTTATGAGGCAATTACTCAATTTGGAGAATGCGGTACATTAAAAAAAATTTCCTAAACTTTCCAATGATTTCACAGTTTAATCTTGCCAAAATGATGTTGCTTTGGCTCAATAATATGGGGCACATGGCTTTGATCATAATTCATTGCTACAAGGTGAGGTGCAAGCAGGTGTGGAAAGCATGTTATTACCATATGTTCTTGGGTGATTCCACGAGAGATTGACACAGGTCCAAAGGTTGATATTTTAGATTTCATTGAGTATTTTATATTTTGTGCACCTCTCACCAGGTAGCCCAAAAGTCAACTTCGTTTTATGATTAACGGCACAACTTACGAGAAAAAAAATATCAAACTTCACCAACACGGAGGCACCAATTTTGTCACCTGTCATTTTCGAAAATTGCAGATGCTATAAAAAGACAAATATTTCTGTTTCAAAGAAGATATTTTTTACCTGAAATGTATGTCTAATGAAGAATGAATTCATACGGTTTTAAGTTTGTAGACCAAAAGAAAATAGCTTTTAAAAATGTATATATTTGCGACAGTTTAAAATAAGTTATGTATTCCCCATTTTTTTTCCCTCCGAAAGTAATGCAAGCAGCGTTTTAAAACGTGACACGTTTTAAGAATATAGTGTGTTCATTAGGTACATAAATTATTGTTGCCGTAGGGCAAATGTAAATTTTTATATATTGCCTCAAAGTTCTCATATAGGCAAAAGTGTACTCCACTGAAATTGGAATAATAAAAAAGCCCCATCTTCGATTTTTCTTAAAATCTCGTAAATAGACAAACTAAGGCCATTATACAGTAATATAGAAAAACAGGTTGCATTATTTTGTTTTTAGCGACAATATGCGTGGTACAAATCAGAGCTTTTCGAGAACGCGCTGATAAGTTGAGAAATCTAGAAAACGGAACGGAAAAGCGGCAATGAGCTTCAAACGCGAGTAAATGTGACCGCATTTGGTGAAGAAAAGGTCTTTTAGTAGAAAGGAGTAACTATTTTGAACACGGTATTCTACAGTATCTGAATTCACTCTTATACGTAGAGCACTGAGACTTCTAATATGTGGTGCCTCTCCATTACTGCACACAGATAGAGCTGCTGTGACGGCCATGTGTTTTCAGCACGTTGGGTAAGAGAATTGAATGTTGAATGTGTTCATAAACGATTCATAAAAAATTTTTATCATTTGGGGCACGAAGATTGCCGAATTAGACTGAAAAACCCGCTTTAGGGCAAGTTGTCATTCGTCGTCTGCTCTACAGATGAATTGCTGTGCGCCGCATCTCGGAGACAATGCTTTAGATAATATGGTTCAAAGTAGGGACAAAGATTACGCCTCCCGTAATTTTATCGACAAAAACATTGTGAAATTTATTTTAACGTACTATACTTCAGTTTTGCATTCGTACTGTGGATACTTGCGCGCGCTGTTTTACGTCTGCTCTCATTAAAGGTGAGAGACACAGGAACAGACGACAGATAGATCACTTTCGTGCCGCTGGTTTCACGCATAGTTGCATTGCCAGTAATTTGAGCCTCAAGGAGCGTGGCGATGGCTGACCATTTCAGCCGGGATAGAGTTTTTTGTTCAGATTACCTCATGTTGCATAAAAATAAAATACCTTATCAAAGAAACTTCCGCAAGGTTGAAGACATCGGCCTGTTTGCACTCCAGAAGCTTTTGCCGAAAGCTGCCCGCCATGCACATAACAACGACCACGTCTGCCAGAACTGCTTCAGACGCCTCAGAGATATGCTGTCTTCGTCTAATGGCTTCTCAGCTGATGAGTTTTTGCCGGAAGAAGAAAAAGGAAGAAGTCAAGAGCGGTGCGTAAACACGCCTGAAGCATTGTCACCTATGTGACTGGAGAAGCTGCATGCGCAAAATAGCAAAGTTCATGCAGAGCCAAGACAACTTAGCAGCAATTCTACAGTAACCGTGAAGTGCCACCGTAACGTGTGTAACCGCCACTTTCAACCATCAGATCTAAAATGCAGTGTGTGTGCCCAGTGGTTCAAGAACTTCAAGCAAGCCTATGAAGCGTGTTCTTCGTATCAAGAGCGCATGCGTTTGTTGACACTGTTGCCGAGCGATATAGAGTGCCGAAAACTCGAAGCGCTTATACCAAACTTGTCAGCTTACATGATATACAGATCCCGACGCTGGCGCACAAAACACGAGATATGGTTAGCACCAAATGCGGTAAAAAGGACACGGCTGAACCCAATAGACATCCAGGCAGATATGGCTTACTACTCCAAAGATGAGTATAGCTGCTCTCAGCAGAGTCCCAACAAAAAAGATGTAGTATCTGTTATCATTGACGGAAAAAAGGAGCTTGTTTCGAAAAGGTTTATGACCTGTTCGGTGCAAGAGGCTTACTGTCTCTTTAGAGAAGCTAATCCGAACACGTCTATTGGGCTCTCAAAGTTTTATTCCCTGAGGCCGAAGTCGGTTCTTCTTGCACCACACCAAGAAATGTGCCTTTGTATATACTGTGCTAATGCCATGGAGTGTGTTTCTGCCCTACAAGATGTCACCGATGGTGCCTACACGCCGGACTTCTTGAAAGAACTATGTCTTTGCAGCTTCCCTACAAGTGATTGTCTTTTAGGCCATTGTGACTATTGTGCTAAGGAGAATGCTCTGACAGCCACATGTTTAGGAATCCCTGAAGATATTGAGGTAGCCTATGCAGTATGGGAAAATGGCGATCTAGTAAAAAAAAAAAGCCCAGGCAAGTGCTTTTCTGCGAGAGCTAAGTCTATGGTTCGTGAAGTGGATTACCCATGATTACATAGGATACATTCAAGAATCAGCAATACGTCAGGAGAAAGAGAACCAAGAAAAAGAATCTTGCATTTTTTACTTTGATTTCGCCGAAAATTGGACAGCCATTTTACCGAATGAGGTACAGTTGTATCACTGGCACAAAAGACAGGTGTCTATATTCACGTGTGTCGTCACAAGAAAGCAATCAATTCAAAGTTTTGCCATCATCAGTGATGACACATGCCATGATGCTGCACATGCCTGTTTTGCTCTACAAATAATCCACAACTATATGAAGGAACAACTTAAGCCTGACACGCATGTTATTATGTTTCTGATGGTGCCAGCAGTCACTTCGAAAACAAGTACCAGTTGTTCGAGTGATGTCAGAAAAATCATATATCAACAAAGTGGATTTTTTCAGCCACAGGACATGGCAAGAACTTTTGTGACGACATTGGTGGCCTACTAAAGCATCAGGCTACGCTCTACAACCTCAGAGCGGCAAGCTGAGCTGTGATTATGTCAGCATCCCAAATGGTGGCGCAAATGAGCACGAAGCTCAAGAATGTCAAGCGGCTGTGTGCAAATGTAGACGAGCTAGAAACATTCCGTCAGTTTCAGAAGAGCCAGTGGGAATTGTTACCACGTGTTCCAGGCATACGTTCTTGGCATGTTTGGCTAAGCACATCTGAGGGC